GTCCGAATTTGCACGAACGATCAGATTGGACCTGAAAATAAGTATGCCAAATTTGATCGAAATCGGTTCAGATATAGCTATAGCTCCCATATATATTGTTCATCCGATTTGTTATTTTTGTCCTCTGCAGCCGTAATATGCACTCTGTAACAACAATATTTGGGGAAATATATCAAATACAGCTCAGAAATACATTTGCTAAATTTTATCGAGATCGGTTCAGATTTGGATATAGCTCCCATATATAACTTCGTCCGATTTACCTTTGATTGTGCACCACACGTCTAACCGAATTACGACCGAATTGAGTCTAGAAGCTAGTATGTAAAATTTGGTGAAGATCGGTTCAGATATAGCTATAGCTCCCATATATACCGTTCATCCGATTTGTCATATTTGTTACCCACAGCCGTAATATGCACTCCGTAACAACGATATTCAGGGAAATATATCAAATACAGCTCAGAAATATCTTTGCCAAATTTTATCGAGATCGGTTGTGATTTGGATATAGCTCCCATATATATTTTTATCCGATTTCAAATTAATTGTGCACCAAATGGGCAATACAAGTCCGAATTTAAAAGATACAAATGCTTCGGCATATTTAGTCCTTTGAACTTTAAATTATAATTATAATCATAGCGTGTATGATTGAATTCTCCCATTAAAACTTTTAATTGTTATGCGCACCTCTACTAAATTAGCAAAGTGGTGTAGGGTATCATAAAGTCGGCCCCGCCCGGCTTTTAGACTTTCTTTACTGGTTTTATGAATGGTGTACATAAATATAAACTCCTACATTTTTAGCAGATAACTTCACAGATTTATCGGTGGAATGTTTGGGTCATATGGAACACACACTTCAGCAGTTTTGTATATTTATTTTTGATTTCAGAAAAAGGTGTGACAAGGTGACCATGAACTATTTGTGTGTTTTGATTTGTTCACACAAAAAAATATTTTCAGTTTCATTTCGATAGTGAATGAGAAAGGTTCTAAAAGAATTTTGTATTACACATATCTTATTTACGTATTTTCCCTTAAACCATTGTTTCAATACACAAAGCTTCTATAAATTAATAAAACTTTGTGGAAACGTCACCTTACACATTTTTACGTCATTCGTCATTCCCTACCTAATAGCTGTTGTACACCTTCGACGTTTTTCATCACATGTATTTATGTGAATGTTACAGAAATACATCGTAAGTACAAATCTTCAATATTGAACAATTTCAACATTGACAGAATTTATTTTCTTTTTTTTTTTTGTGGTGAAACGGAATTATAGAAAAAATCAGAATGCATAACACAAGTTTATGTTCTTTGGCAACATTCCACCATCAAAATTAAAAATACAGATTTCCGCCGACAATATTCCTTACAAATTGAAATTTCTTGCTTCTGGTAACCATAAAATCAAACTGAAACAAAAAGTAATAAAACAAGAGAACGTTGTGGATCTTTGAATAGAAAATACTAACTTATTAGTGATTTTTTAAAAAATCGTCTTAATTGCAAAAAACTATGAAAAATGCTACTCCGTCTAGGAGTCTTATAATGTCAAATAGACTAATGGTCGAATTAAGGAGGTAAAGTCATGCAATCATTTTCAACATTTGTATGTGACAAGGTAAATTACAGAAAATGCAGAGATGGGTATGCTTATTTGAAATGACTTTACCTTCTTAATTTTACCATGAATATACTTTTAAATATTCAACAATGTGTTTAGTTTATTTTACATTTTTTAACAAAACTCCTACGTTGGGGTCAATGGGATTATTTCATAAAATTGAATATAAGATAGTAAGACAATACAGTTTTATTCCAAATTTGTACAGTCTGTTGTCAATTAACGTCGAAAATATGCATTTATTTTGCTACTGAATGTGAAATAATTTCAAATTTTATTCAAAACAATACACACACATACACAAAATGTGTATGTACATATTTTGACAGAATAAGGACACAAAAAGAAACAAGTTAAAAAGCACTAAGTTCGGCCGGGCCGAACTTTTAATACCCTCCACCATTTGCAACGAATTTGGAAATTTTTAAAAAATAAAATCCTTAAAAAATTTTGTTAAAATTTTAAAAATACCGAATATAGCCGTCATATTGGGGTCTATACGACGTGGACATACATAGGCATTGTTTATCATAAGCCATTACCATATTCAAATTGGAAACTTGAAATAAACGGTAAATAATGTAGCTAAAATCATCAAAATATCGTATATAAGGAGGTGCCGTTAAATTGGAGCTGTGCAAAGACCTGGACCAGCATAGACAGTTTTCTGTCACAGGCTGTAGCATCCATTACGAACTTCAAATACCACATTTCAAACAATTTCGGTGGGTATTGTACCTAAAATCGTCAAAATACCGAATATGGGGAGGTACTGATATATGGGGCCTATACGAAGACATGGACCCGCACAGACAATTTTCTGTCACAGACTTTAGTATTCATTACGAACTTCAAATACCAATTTTCAAACAATTCCGGTGAATAATGTCGCTAAAATCATCAAAATACCGAATATAGGGAGGTACCGTTATAGGGGGGCTATACGAAGACGTAGACCTGCACAGACAATTTTCTATCTTAGACTGTAGTATTCATTACGAACTTCAAATACCAATTTTGAAACAATTCCGGTGAATAATGTCGCTAAAATCATCAAAATACCGAATATAGGGAGGTACTGATATACGGGGCCTATACGAAGACCTGGACCCGCACAGACAATTTTCTGTCACAGACTGTAGTTCCTATAACGAACTTCAAATACCAAATTTGAAACAATTCCCGTGAATAATGTCGTTAAAAACATCAAAATACCGAATATAGGGAGGTACCGTTATATGGGGGCTATATGAAAACGTGGACCTACATGGCCCATTTACGAACTTAACCTGCCTACTGGAAAAATAAACATGTGTGCAAAATTTTAGCCATCTATCTCAATTCATTCGAAAGATAGCGTGATTACAACAGACAGACGGACAGACAGACAGACAGACAGACAGACGGACAGACGGACATCGCTAAATCGACTTAGAATTTTACGCTGATCAAGAATATATATACTTTGTTGGGTCTGACATGAGTATTTCGAGGAGTTACAAACGGAATGACAAAGTTAATATACCCTCCATAGTATGGTGGAGGGTATAACAAAGTTAATATACCCTCCATAGTATGGTGGAGGGTATAAAAATTGTGTTTAGGAGGTAGCATTTATTTACCTTCAGTTATTTTGCCATGGTTGATACCTGTGCAAATGGTACAATAATATTTCGATGGAGACTTTGTAATGTCAAAACACGTACGTGTGTATGTATTGTTTTGAATTCTGTTATTAATAATAAAAATTAATCCATAAAGTTCAATATATTCTTTGCGATTTTATCTTGAATTAAAATATTGTGAAAAAAGTGTCAAAAAACAAACCAGCTGACAGTAGCTTTAGATTTGTATTTTGCACATTCGATCAATCTGCCCTACTCTGTAATCATTGTATTTATATAATTTTTTTATATAATAATGTATAGTATATTATATATTTACGTTTTTCTATGTCAGGCAAGTTACTAAATGGAAACAATTAAAAAAAACAGCAAAGAAAGTCTTACAGTCGGGCGGGACCGACTTTATGATACACTACACCACTTTGCATGTTTAATACAGCTTCACTTAACAAATAAAATTATTCATAGGAAATTTGTGAGAATTTAATCTATACAAATACAAACTAGGATTATAGTTATAATTTCAAGTCCAAAGTACTAAATTTGTCGAGGCATTTGTGTCTTTTCAATTCGGATTTGTATAACCTATTTGGTGCACAATTAACTTGAACTCAGGTAAAGATATATACGGGAGCTGAACCGATGTCGATGAAATTTGGCAAAGGTATTTCTGTGCTTTATTTGATATATTTCCCTGAATATCGTTGTTACGAAGTGTATATTACGGCTGTGGGTAACAAATATAACAAATCGGATGAACAGTACATATGAGAGCTATAGCTATATCTGAACCGTTCTTCAACCATTTTGACATACTACCTTCTAGACTCAATTCGGTCGTAAGTACCAAATTCCATCCCATTTGGACAAATATTAGACGTTTGATGCACAATAAAAGATAAATCGGACTAAGTTATATATGGGAGCTATATCCAAATCCGATCTCGATAAAAACTTAACAAACGTATTTCTGAGCTGTATTTGATAGATTTCCCCAAATATTGTTGATACAGAGTGCATATTACGGCTGCGGAGGACAAAAATAACAAATCGGATGAACAATATATATGGGAGCTATAGCTATATCTGAACCGATTTCCATAAAATTTGGCATACTTATTTTCAGGCCTTATTTGGTTGTATGTCATACAGCCTATGACAAAAAATTTCGTAAGCAGGTCCACGTCTTCGTATAGTTATATATAACACATAATAATAAATAAATAAATATTTCAAGTTCCTTCCAAATGGTGGAGGGTGTTAAAAGTTCAGTTGTTATTGTCAAATGTATTTTTCGAACAAATATTTTTTTAAATTTTCACGCCTTTTTGAGGAAAAAGAAAAATATAATTTAAAACAGGAAACAAAAAATATTAGTCTGATGAGTCGTATTAAAGTTAATTATGGAATGGTTGAATTTGGGTTCGCTTAGGGCAAGTAAGAATACAATATCACACCTTGTTTTCCAAAATATTAGTAGAAGATTGTCATCTCTTATTTTCAGTTCAATTGGCATTAAATTCGTTACAAGAAATTGTCTGCCTAAGTTTTTGTTTTATTACTGAATCCATCTAGCGGGTATCGTCGAGATTTTGACAACATAAAGGGATGTCAGGACCGTACTTGAATCCTGCCGTCATTTCCCCTTTAATTTGACATTAATATACCATGTCACGATGTAAAGCTGCTTGTGTATCTTCACTTTTAGATGTCTTTAAAGAATGTTTTCCTTACAGATTCAAACTTCATGTCAGTCATTATAAAGCGGCAAATACCAAGCTTATCTCGACGCCAACTTTATCGCTGCGATGAAGCATTCTGCAATGAGATCATGGCTTATAATCATGTGATCCCACTGCTGGACCGATACATGTCCGAGAGCGTATTTCCAAAATGTTTCTATGCTGGTCACGATGATGTCGGGGAAATAATAGTTTTAGAGGATTTAAAGGAAATAGGATACCGCATGCAAAACCGACTTACCGGCTTGGATTTGAATTTTTGCGAATTGGTCATGAAGGTATGGTGAGTAGTCACAGAGTAATTTCCTGTTTTTGTACATTCTTCTTTTTTATTTTAGCAATTGGCGAAATTTCACGCGGCCTCGATAGCAGCACAACGTTTAGACAATGCAATGTTTCGTGATAAATGTAAACAGGTTTGCGAGATCGTATATTGTAAAGAAGCCGAGGAGTTCTACAAGAACATATTGGAGACCTCCATACAAGAGTCATTGAACAGTTTGCGATCATCGAATGTGGACGGATGTCTGACGGAGCCAATTCGATTAATAGAAAAGCTGCAGTACAAGTTATTTGCCAAGATCCAATGTTACATCACAAATCCACCGGACCACATGAGCGTTATGTGTCACGGAGATTTGTGGATGAACAATATTATGTTTACAACGACGTCCTCTTCCAGAGATTCAAGCAACAAAAGTATAACTGACGACGCCGACTGTCAACAAAACGGAGCTAAGGCGGCAAATCGTGTGCCGAGCGATGTTAAATTTTTCGATCTTCAAGCTATGCGATTTGCCTCGCCGGTGTTCGACATATTACATTTCATCTATACCAGTACGAAACGAGACTTGAGGGATTTATACACAACACATTTGCTTGAAATATATGCGTTGGCTTTATCGTCGAATCTCGAAGAACAGTTTACACACTCCAGCTCGGACCTCGATTCACTCCGGGATACCTATTCACTGCCCAACATTACCACTGAATACTACAAGCATGTGCTGTACGGTCTGGCCATCTGCATGTGGATATTGCCTGCTGTAACCTTCGACCCCAACAACATCCCAAATCTAGACGCCATCAGTGAAATGAATAGAAGTGCCAAGGAAATCAAGTGTACACAGAAATTAACCCCAGAATATCATTCCCGTCTGAGGGATTTGGCTTTGGAATTCTATCAGAATGGCTATTTAAATTTATCTCATATTGATGACCAATAATGGTTTAATAAAAAAATGATTTTATAAAACACGTTATTTAAATTGACAATTCCTTTGATTACATGTCTTTTTAAAGCGGAATCTTCGCGAAACCCCTAATTAAGGCTCTCTTACAAATAATAAATCCTAAATATTCCAAGATTCGATTCCAGCGTATACGTCAAATCGAGTTAGCAGTTGAAATCCACCGATTTATTGTGCGTGGACGGCGTTTATGACATGATTACATGTTTCATCGTGACAATCTTCAGATACTGGACCCGGCATTAAATTAATACACACCACTGAGATGTACACTGTTTTGTTAATTTTCGTTAAAGTAACATTCTATTAAAATCTACCAGATGATTACAACTTTTTGTCTGCCCATTTTGTGTATGTATTTATTGTTTTGAAAAAAAAAAAAAAAAAAAAACAAAATAATTTAAAAATCAATGACTGGAAGAAACGTACATTGCGGGGCGAGCATTGAAAATAATAACCAATTTTGCCATGAAATTGAAATATTGAACACTTTGGATCACATTTTTGAGGAAAAATTGTATTATCACTAGCTGAAATCATGGTAGAATGATACAGGTAACATCAAGTGTTGTTGTACAACAATCGTAACAACGACATACAAATTTGTTTTTGTACGTAATATAAGTGTCAGAGTTATATGTCCAAAAATGTAAATAAAATAACTAATTTTCAATAAATTATTTTGATTTCAAAAATATACATTTTTGGAATTTGGATTATTTTTGGATTTGGAAATGCAGAAGAATAGTTTTTCAATTATTTAATTTGAATGCTTTCATATCATTCCCCTGAATGTATAGTTGTTAGCTGTAGGTCCTAACCACTCAACACTTCAAGCAATCGCTAGAAAGTCGTGGATAATGCCACATCCCTTTCAAATTGAAACTAAACGGCATGCACACATAAAGAATTCTAAATTTTGGAATATTAGGAAACATAAAATATACGACTATGTTACCTAATATGGTGTCGCTGCTTTTTAACCTTGAAAACAGTTTTCGCGGTTGGCGATTCATATTGCTCTGCAGTGGAATTTTATATAAAAAATGTATACCTATTGTATATCAAGAAATGGAATTTAATCACAAAACTTCTTACCGAATTTGACACTAGTGTTACTATAGAGTCACATCAGCTGGGACTTGCTGCTACCTGTAATAATTTTGCCATGAGCTGAAATATGCATTCAAAACTGTATATACGAATATTTTGTGGTTTAAAAAATAGTAAAACAAATTCAATATTTTAAAAAAAGTAAAAAAGCAGTAAGTTCGGCCGGGCCGAACTTTGAATACCCTCCACCATTTGGAACGAATTAGAAAATTTTCAAAAAATAAAATCCATTAAAAATTCTGTTAAAATCTTTAAAAAAATCTAATATCGGAAGGTGCCGATATATGGGGGGTATACGACATTGTGGACCTATATAGACAAATACCTTTCAGGTGTTAAAGTGCTCACAAAGAACTCCTTGTGTGGATTTTCAGAAAATACCATAGGAAAATATGGCTAAAATCATCAAAATACCGAATATCGGTGGTACCGTTATGTGGGGGATATACGATATCGTTAACCTATATAGATAATTCTCTTCCAAGGGATAAAGTACTCACAATGAACTCCTCGTGTGGAGTTTCAGACAATTCCATTGAAAACTGTGGCTGAAATCATCAAAATACCGAATATCGGGGGGTACCGATATATGGGGGCTATACGATATCGTTGACCTATATAGATAATTCTCTTCCAAGGGATAAAGTACTCACAATGAACTCCTCGTGTGGAGTTTCAGACAATTCCATTGAAAACTGTGGCTGAAATCATCAAAATACCGAATATCGGGGGGTACCGATATATGGGGGCTATACGATATCGTTGACCTATATAGATAATTCTCTTCCAAGGGATAAAGTACAAGGTACTCCTTGTGTGGATTTTGAGACAATTCCGTTTAAAAATGTGGGTAAAATCATCAAAATACCGAATATCGGGGGTACCATTATATGGAGGCTATACGATATCGTAGACCGATATAGCCCATCTTCGAACTTGACCTACCTGCAGACAAAAGAGGGAGCTGTGCAAAATTGTATCGTCCTATCTTAATTCGTTTAGACTGTAGCGTAATTATAACAGACGGACAGACGGACGGACATGGCTAAATCGTCTTAGAATTTTACGCTGATCAAGAATATATATACTTTGTTGGGTCTAAAATGATTATTTCGATGCGTTAGAAACGGAATGACGAACTTAATATACCCTCCATACTATGTATGGTGGAGTGTATAAAAAGTATTCATTGTAAAACTTTATTGCGTAAACAAACAAATCTCTCGGTCTACCAACGCGTGAACAAGCCAGGCACAACTGTTGATGAGCAGCAGGATCATGCCAAATTTAGTCCGCATACAGGAAGAGTTTGTCCTTCGAAGTTATTAATTTCATAGCAAAAGCCAAGCGTGCAGGAAATAGCAATCTTTTGAAGTTGAGTGGAATTTCTGCTGCTATTAGAGAATTCGAGGTAATAATAATCGTATCCTCAAATAAATTTTTGCGTATTTTTTACTGTTAGCCTAATGCTATAGCAAAGGCGTTATGGGACACAATCATATCCCAAACTAACCCGATTTCAATATAATTTGACAATTTTTTTTGGCCAAATTACGTCACACCTTCCATATTTCATTGAAATTGGTGATTTTTTATGAAATTTATGATATCGACCTTAAATATATATGGAAGGCATATCAAAATCTCAAACAATATTACTTATTTGGTTAATTGCTTGGCTTAAGGTCAATAAAAAAACTATGTTTTTTATTTTTAATTTTTTCCTTTTTTATTCATAAAATATTTCGATTTCCTCCGGAAATCATATTTAGGGATCTGTTTTACAAAAAATAAAAATTACAAACAGATTTTAACAATAGGGATCTGTTTTACAAAAAAAAAAACAAAAATTACAAACTGATTTTAACAATATATAACACAACTAGCTGGCCCAGTCCGCGTTGCCGGTCCGTAGTTTTTGTCTATTATGCATATTTGTCAAAGTATAATTATTCACAGATATGACTGATATAAGTGTTCACATGCTGGTCGATTAAAATTGTTTTAAAATACCTGTACCCATATTTAAGCCGTGGGCTTCAATATTTAAACCGTGGGCTTCAAATGTGTGGATGTGATTCACAAATCTATTAAAAAGTTTAAATCAATCTTATCCCCATGTAAGGGATCAAATTAATTGTTAGTATGGTAAAAATCGTAGCAAAATTTTTCAGTCAAATGAGTAGTAATTTGGAAATTACTTTATTTTTTACACCTCATAATTGAGGGCTGAATGATTTAAGAATAGTCAAAGTTAATTACTTGTTTAAGCCCATTAGCGCCATAGAATGTGCATTAGAGTCCTCATAAGTCCCCCTAACCATGTCGGTCTGTTTGTCCGCCAAAAGGTGGACTTGAGGGGGTACTATTACATGGAGAAAATTCTAAAATTTACAGATATGTTGAAATTTTTGTGTAATATTTTCACCCCCCAAATACACATTTTTAGCCAAATCCTTTGAAATATGGTATAATAAGGAGGTACCTTTATATGGACACAACTTTGAACATCGACCTACATTGAAAACTTTCTTCTACCCCTAATAATCTAAGATGAAAAAAATTGCGTGATTTAAATAAGTAAAAATAATTTTATCCACCTCATAATTGAGGACAGAATGATTTCAGAATAGTCAAATATAATTACTATTTTACACTCATTACCGTAAGATGGGAATTAATTTTATTTGCCATTTAAATTGTAAGTTGGAGACCCCATAAAGTCCAAATTTTTCATCATAGTAGAAGGATAGAAATTCTTTTCTTACTAAAAGTTCCATTCGCTCTACTATTTTGCACCCTTTATATTTGGTATTTTACTGATTGAACTCCCAAAGAATTTTGCATTTTGAGCTCTCATTGGACGGATTATTGTCACATGAAAGAAGTAGATCCACGCTTTGAAATGAGCCCCATTAGGCTGTTTCGGTCATTTTTGTTTGTTTAAATGTGTTCGCATCTTCCAGCTGAACCACGATGTAGGCCCTGGAGTTGAAAGGTAGATCTCAGTTAACATCGTATTTCATACTTATTTCATTTTTTTTGGAGAAAAATTATATATAGTGAAAAATTAGTCCTTATTTTGTTCACAAAAAAAATCCTCTGAATTCAATATAATACAAATTGAAAAAAATTGACGCAAGAAAAATAACAAATTGAAAAAATAGTCAACATGTCCGCTGATTTTTTACAGCAAATGATTAAAGATCCCTACAAAGTTTGTCAATAGAATGTACTATTATTTTAAAATTCGATTCCATTGAATTTTTTTCGATTTTTCCCCGATTTGAGAATTTTTGCAATGAGATCTCTTTTTCGTGATTTTTCAGCGATTTTGAAAAAGTAATTATCTTTTAACTTTGGTGTGACCGCGTTAAATTATTTCGAACTCATCTATTCCGTTTCGCCACCACATAATTCGGTACTACACTTCCATGTAACTCGCCATCAATTTCATTTCTCAAGAAACCAAGTCAACTAAATAAATTGGTGTTAATATTTGAATTCAAAAATAAAATATTAAAAACACTACAAATGTACATTAGAAAAAAGTAAGTCAAAATGGAAAAAAATCATGCAATATAAAACATTACTATTGTACATTTCAAAAGTCAAAATGAAAATGTTAATATATAACATTTTTACGCGATTTTTTTGGATATTATCCTTTTCGGAGAGGAGACAATTCCGAATTTGTATGACGTTAAAATCAGTCCAGCGATTCTTAAGTTATAAGCGTAGTAACTAACACAACTTTCTTTTATATATATAGATAGATATAGATTAAAAAGTACTGACAACGACAGTTCCTCAGCCCCAAATAAATACTTAGAGGGGGATGGAAAGTCAACAGTATCTCTTGCAATAATTTTCAAACCGATATCTCCTCTATATTGGCATATATAAGGATTTTAGATAAATCAAAATTGTGGGCGCAAAAGTGGTCGTGGTCTATATTTTTTTCTTTAAAAACCTAACTCGGGGTATGACGAAAGTTTTTACGAAAAATTATGCAAATCGGTCCAGCCGTTTTCAACTGATTCCGTTACCAACAAACAACAATTGATTTATATATATATAGATAAACTAGCTGGCCCGGTCCGCGTTGCCGGCCCGTAGTTTTTGTCTATTATTCATATTTGTCAAAGCATAATTATTCAAAGATATGAATGTTATAAATGTTCACGTACTGGTCGATTAGTTTTTAATTTTTAGTCAAATGAGCAGTAATTTGGAATTTACTGTACTTTGTACAACTCATAATTGAGGGCTAATTGATTTAAGAATAGGCAAA